ATTGAATAGGCGCAGTAATCAAAATTGAATTATGAAAACCTGAAAAAAATTTAAGAAAATAATTGAAATTATGAAAAATATTTTTAGACTGAGGAGGGAGGGCTGCTTGTTATGAATCCCGTGTGGTATAAAATCACTTACTACTTGATGTCTTCATCACCAACTGCTGCATCTCTGCATATCTCCATCTCAGCCCTCGTTGTTGGTTGGCACACACGAACACTCGCGAAATTTAGCAAAAATTACGCACAAAATACCCGGAATGTTAACACTCACGTGATTCTAATATTAATAAATGTATAGAAAATTGAATAACGAGATTTTAAATTAACTGCAATCACGGTTGAAGAACAAGAGCCGAAGCCTTAAACTTGTTTTCAAAATAACGCACAAACACTGTAAATCAGAATGTAAGACTAAGAATCGGCTAATGGCCAAGACTTTTCTTAACGACATCTGTCGCGATACAAAGAAATGAAATTTCGGGGAAAACGCGAGCCCCTAGATCCGCTGTGATCTGTCGGTGATTGCTCGTATATTTCGGATACTAACAACCACTTTAACGGATGCACCTCGAGAAGGTTTTAGCACAGACGGTCTTGCCATTCCATGCGTTACACACTGCGAACGTGATAAACGCACAGAATGACCTGGTATTTGAATACCTTGCATCCATATAACTAATAAATGATATATAAATAATAATAATATCGATATATATATATTCAAAACCGAACGACTAATGAGCGAACGCACGCCGACGCAGCAGTAACGATAACCAATTGAAATCGGAGTGTTTGATCGATTCGACGATAGAGAGCGCTTATATCTAATCGGAAAACATTGGTTATTGCGTTTATTTAGATTCAATCGCGTAAAGCAATTATGAGTAGGTAATATGGAAGTAAGATGTAATTGAATTTGCAAGAAGCGATTTGGCGTTTATTGCATATGCAATTTTACGCCAGAAAAAAAAAGTTGTTGAAAATTTCAAAATGCATACGACGCGTCATTTTTGAAATGCGTAATTGGAAATCGAATTTGCGGCACAAATTAATAATAATACAGAATGGGAAATTACGTCAATCAGTAGATGAGGTTAAATATTGTGTTAATGCACTGACCTTTGTTAATTGCGGCGGCAAATGGATGGATAATGTTGAATTTTCTTGGGAGACGCAGGTCAAC